AGAATGCTGGTGTGGCTACACACACACCTTAACCATGGCACTGGAGGAGGGGAGTAGAGACAAGAGGGTTGTAGGAGCTTACTGGCTGAAGGCCTGGGTCCGGGTCCAGTGAGAAACCTTTACTCAAAGGAGTAAGGCAAAAAACAAACCAACAACAAAACCCACAATAGAGTAGACACCCAATCGTCTCTGGCTGCCACCAATACATAGACAAGCATATGTAGCTGTACACACACACACACACACACACACACACACACACACACACACAGGTGTGATAGTACAGAACTGGAGTTGCTGCAATCTCCTCTCCCCGAGGCGCTTGTGTGGCTGATTGAATCAGTTATCATTAGTAGCAGCTACCAACAGGTGCTGGGTACAGAGGCCTGGCGTGCTGTGGCCTGCTGCCTGGCACTGGTCTCCTTGTCCTCCATCCACAAATGAAGTGACTGAGGCTCAGAGTGGTGTAAGTCACCGCTAGTGAGTAATCACAAAGGGTGATGTAGAAGTGTAGGCCCCGAGGGACCAGGTGGGCAAGGTGTGGAAAATCCCTCCCGCAGCCCTTGGCAGCCAGTTGTCCCCACCCAGAACTTGGGATAGCCCAGTCTTCAGAACCTTGAGATAGCCCAGTCTTCAGAACCTGGAGGTTGCCCAGTCTTAAGTAAAGCCCCCAGTGACTTGCCTCTCCACCCTCCAAGGGTTGCCCTGGCCCACACCCTTCCTCCAGCCAGTACTGTTTGTTTGGAGTAGGAAGTACAGACGACCTGTTAGGGAAGGGAGCGCCTGAGCTGGACCTTGAAGGCCAAGTTGATAAAGAGAACGGAGAGCAAGGCAACAAAGGCTGGGGATGGGGCAATTGACGTGACGGGGGACACATGGAATAGGCACGAGCAGCCCTGATAGCCAGAATAGAGGCCCGTGGGACCAGAAGCCAGGGGCAGGGAGAAGCCTGGCACAGATCCCTTCCAAATCTGGCCTTCCTTGGGACTCAACTGGGTAGACTGCTTCTCGGTTGGGCTCTGAGGCAGATCCTGGGGATGGAGCTGGACAGGGTAGCTAGGAAAAGGGATCCAAGCTGTACTTCTTTGCCCATGGAACTAACCCTCCCGGGGCTGCAGGGTGACCTAGCTACAAGCAAGCCCATCAGCGATGGCCAAGAGGGCAGGGCCGAGGAAGATGGGGCAGGACACGGAAGAGTCAGCGGCCCCATCAGCCTCTCCTTGCTGCAGCCGGCAGAGACCGAGGCCCCTCTGGACTGAGAGAAACACCAGGATCACAGCCACCAAACAGACTGCTCCTCCCTGGCCAGCAGGCCCCGGGCCAGAGCTTACAGCCCAGCCTGAATCCCTAGCCCACCTCCCACTGCCTGGCACAAGCTGTACCACTGGCCTCAAGCCAGGTTGTTTTGATAGCGGAACCACAAGCATAGATCAAGGAGCCCCATGCTGCTGTGTGGCCTCAGATGGCAGCTGCGGAGCAACTCCAGGCCGCTGTGTGCACGTGATCAGAGGCGCCGGGAGCTCATAAGGCAGAGAAGGCAGCACATCTCCAGACATGCCAGAACTACCCGACATGTTCACACAGCCTTTCAGAAAGTCACAGGTGAGGGGAGGGAGGGGGCTGTCTAGGCTTCCAACAGGAATGCTTTGGAATGCAGGCCATGAACCCTCTCCAGTGTCCCTCCAAAGGTGACCTCCTGGCTATCCTTCGAGACAGCCCAGCTCCTCTGTTTCCTGTAAAGACTTCCAGTGCCTTAGTAGACAGTGCAGTGCCTCCGTGGGCTTTGGAGACTGGGCTAGTTAGGTGACCCGAGGGGAGAAGCACAGTGCTATTGCATTTCCAGGGTTCCGTGAGGCCCTCTGCAGTGCATGCGTGCAGGCTGTGGGGGCAGCTCCCCATCCTTTCCGAGGTACTGCTTCCTCTGGGATGAGGGAGACAGCACAATCTCTGGAGGGTGCCAGGAACGAGGCGCATGTTCCAAGTTTCTGTCAACAGCCCCCAAAACACTTGGCAGGTAGCTCCGTCTCACCCCAGAGGCCTAATTACAGAAAACACTAGCAAGGCCTTCCTGTAGAAGGCTTGGCAGGGCGGGCACTCCTACCACCAGCACGAATCTGGACAAACTAGAGTCTATGCTCGGTGGCCTGGGTTCGAGTTCCCACCTTGCCACTTGGAAGCCCTGTGGCCTCAAACAAGTTGCTTAGCTGCTCTGATTCTGTTTACTCACCTCAACCGTGGGAATACCAACCATAGTGTCTTTAAGGAGGCAAGCAGGGTTTCCCAAGTTAGGAAGGGCCTAGAAGGAAAGTAGGCCCCCAGCCAAAGCAAGCACACGGGGGCTGGAGAGGGCTCGGCAGTGAAGAGCATTGGCTGCTCTCCCGGAGGACCTGGGTTCCATTCCCAGTACCCACATTGAAGCCCCCAACTGTCTATAAATCCAGTTCCAGGGACCCAGTGCCCTCTTCTGGTTTCCTGGGGCACCAGGCACAGAGGTGATAGACAGACATGGGTGCAGGCACGAGAAAGAAAAAAAAAAAAAAGCTAACAAACTTCCTTTAGAAGGCAGAAGCTGGGACTGAGGAAAGGGCCTGGTTAGACTGGACAGGAGGAACTCCACAGTAACGAGGACCAGCGAGTCTATGTGTGCAGTGAAGAACAGACACTCCATGGGGGATTAGAGCAGCTTTTGAGAGGCTGCTGGGTGAGCCTGGAAGGTCTGATATGAGGACCAGCGCACTGCAAAGGTACAAGCATAAGAAAGCCCAGGCACACTCATCTGCTCCCTCATCTGTCCACTCGGTAGCTACCGGTCTGTCCTGGGTGCTGCAGAGATGCAGGCCTCCAAAACCAGCTCTCCCAGAGCTAACATGTCACCTGGACTGCCCTGGGACAAAGGGCAGAGAGCATACCCAAGGAGGAGGGAGGTGGAGCGTTCCTGGTGAGCTGTTTGTGTAGAGCCTTCACTCAGGAGGGATCCCACTGGGTCCTCCTTGAAAGGACCTGATCCAACTATACTGGTCAGGCTGGCTTTGTATACCAGGGTAGCGGGACAACGCTCCATCTAAGGACCCACCTCGGGCATGGGCTAATCAGCTGCGCTTCACATTCTTAGTAATTTCATCTCTGTAAGCCAAGTCCAGGGGGATCCTGAGCATGCACTTGGGATGGGAGCTTGGCTCATAGATGCCTTCTGTTTCCTCTGCTCCCAGACTCCCCGGTGAGTTCTCTGCTGCTTCCCTGACAGCTGGCAGGTACCCCAAGCCCTATCATATACATACAGCTCAGCCCAGCCACTGCTCCCACACATGGGAACCTGGATGTGACCTTGAAGGCCAGGGACAGTCCTACATGCCCCATGTCCTCTCAGGATAGGACATGGACTTGGCTGTCCTATCCCAAGCTGATAGAACAACAAGGTGGCAGATGGGCGACTTGGCAGGAGAACACATCTGACCCACTTCCTGTCCAGACACTGAGAGCCTCTGGAACAGGCTGCAACCCTGGGGGGAATCACACATGAGATTGAGTGAGAGGCAGGCTTTCCTGCCCTAGAGGAGGGGTTCTTGGCCACTGGAGTTTGCACCTGCACCTTGGGTACTGATCAAAGCTGTATGTCATGGCAAGCATGCAAGTGTACCAATGAACATCAAAAACATGAGCGGGGGGGGGGGGGGGGGGGGGGTGGGGGGGGGGGGGGGGGGCAGTGGCGCACGCCTTTAATCCCAGCACTCAGGAGGCAAAGCCAGGTGGATCTCTATGAGTTCGAGGCCAGCCTGGTCTACAGAGTGAGATCCAGGACAGGCACCAAAATGACACAGAGAAACCCTGTCCTGAACCCCACCCCATCCCAAAAAATAAATCCAGCATGACACTGGGAGAGGGAGACATTGTACAAGAAAGGGGAGCGTCTCATACTTCAGTACATTTGATTCTAAGTTTCCCCCACCTTTAATTTATTTGGTACTGGGAAATTGGGCCTAAGGCAAGCACTTTATTACTGAGCGATAGCCTAGTCCTTTTTATTTTATTTCATTTTTGATTACATTTATTTATGGGGGGGGCATGCCAGGTTGTATGTGTGGAGACGAGGGGGGGGGACAACCTGTGGGAGTTATTTCTCCCCTTCCGCCATGTGGGCCCCAGAGACTGAGCTCAGGTCAAGTACCCTAACCCATTAAGTCCTCTCACCAACACTCCGTCCCTTGTACTAAAAATTAGGAGTCACTCAGTTGCCTGTGCTGACCTCGGTCTTACCCTGTAGTTCAGGAAGGCCTTGAACTTGAGATCCTGGCTCAGTTTCCAAGCAGTTGGGATTGCAGTACTGCCCCCTCTTTACGTCAGGCCTAGGGCTTCGTTCATGGTAGGTCGCACTACCACTGACCGAGCTACAGCCCTAGCCAGAGAACTTCCTAAGATTCTCCTGTTCCTCACATCTTGCCCTGTGAATACTGGGATTACACCTGCTCCCTACTGTATTCTATCTGTGTGGGTTCTGGAGATCCAAACTTGGGGCCTCATGCTTGAACGACATTGAACCCATTGCCCCAGCCTTCCCCACCTTTTAAAAAATGATTAATTTTTTAAATATAGTCTCTCTGGTTTATTGTTGTTTTTGTTTTGTTTTGGGTTTTTTTGTTCTTGTTTTTGTTTATTTGCTTGCTTGCTTACTTGTTTTATTTTCTTTTGTTGGGGGACACTTCATGGGTGAGGGGAGGGTATGAGGGGACTAGAGGGTGAGGGGAATCGGGGCTCATGATGTGAAACTCCCAAAGAATCAATAAAGAAGTTAAAAATTTGTTTTAAGTGAAAAAAAAAAAAGTTTCTCTGTAGCTTAGGTTGCCCTTAAATTTGTGGCCATCTTCCTACGGCGCCACTCCAGAGCAGGGCTTCCAGGCCTGCACCCCATACCCAGCTCCCATTCACCAGCCGGACGGATATCAGGCTATTTTCAGTTTGATATTATTATTATTATGGCCCAAGCTGCTGTGAGCCTGTGAATCTGAATGCGAATGGTTTATTTCTCATGAGTAAAGGAGTATCAGAAGGACCATATACACAAGCATACGGTTTACTAGAAGGAAACACCCGACTGTTTTTGACAGGGATGGACTGTTTTGTGTTCCCGTCGAAGCCTCCCCAGCCTGTGGCACTGAAGTCCTCATCGCTCTGGCCTTTGCTGCAGCAGTGAGGGTGACAAAGGACGACACTCTCGGGTGCTTGTTTGTCACCTGTGTCTCCGCGAGCACACGGCATGTTCAGGATTTTTTGCTCATTTTTATTGGGTTGTTTGTCTTCTTATTGAGTTACAAGTGTTCGTTATGTGCTCTGGGTGCAAGTCCTTTATTAGGTTTGTGTTTTTTGTCTCAGAAGGTTGTAACCAAGCCTCTAATAAAAACAGCCACGATACCAATAAAAACCCCAGCACACTCATTTCTCCTCGGGCATCAGCACCAATTACTCCAACTGCCACCTTGTGAACAGCCAAGTGAGCCTCAGGGGCAGCTGCTTCCTCTTGGGTGACAGATCTTTGCAGACATTTACCTCTAAATCAAACCCGGTTCACCAAGACTGAAGATAACAAACTAGCCAGGCATGGTGGCTCACTTCCGCAATCCCAGCATTCAGCAGGGTCCAGGACAAGACCCCGTCCTAAAACAAAAGAAGCAAGTAAACAAACGACACCAGCAAAAACAACCACAAGCCAGAGTAGTTTTCTTTATTAATTAGAAAGCTGCTACAGGGCTGGCAGGATGGCTCAGTGGGCAAAGGCACTTGCTGCCAAGCCTGACAACCCGAGTTTGTTCCACAAGACCCACGTGGTGGGAGACAGCAGACTCCCACGCGCTGTTCTCTGACCTCCACACACATGCCCTGGCACATGTGCCATCCCCACCCGCCCCTCAACCCACGCACAAATAAATAAGTGGATGGGTGTTTGGTTGTTTTGTTTTATTTGTTAAAAGGGCTTTCCTGGGGTTTGGCGTGACTTTTGGGGGAGGGCCTTCACTTATTGCAAAGGCCCTCTTCCTTTCGGGGTGAGGTTTTGTAGCCTGTAGCCTCGAACTCTGGCCACTCCACCTGTTTTAGCTTCTCAAGAGCTAAGATTAAAGGCCCGAGGCGCCATGGCTGGGAAGGCGGCTCTGTAGTTGTTGGGTGTTTACTGCTGCTGGCTTTGAAACACTGAACAGAAACGCTAACCTTAGACCCTGTTTACCAATCACCAGGTATCAACTAGCTGATCTGCGTTAACACAACACTTGCTACATCAAGAGGGTCTGCCCACAGTTTGGACAGCAGTGACTGGGCACTGAACATCACTCTAATCAAACGTAAAGGAGTAAATATGTCTGTGGAAGAAGGCAAGAGAAAGAACTAAATTCTCACCTGCCACAACCAGGAGCAGTCAGTTGCATCCCCCACACCCAGTGCTGGGTGTTAAACCTACAGCTTGACATGCTAGACAAGTACCACGTCACCTAGCTACATCCACAGTCCTTTTTAAAATGTTCTATTTTATGGGTATGAATGCTTTGCCTGCATGTGTGTCTGTGCACCACATGTGTGCAGTGCCAGGGGAGGCCAGAAGAGGGTGCTGGAGCCTCCGAAACTGGAGTTACAGGCAGTTGTGAGCCAGCGTGTCACGGGAGTGCTGAGAGCCGATCCCTGGTCCTCCTCGAGAGCAGTAAGGGCGCTTAACAGCTGTGTCATCTCTCTGGCGGTAGCAACATCAGCAGTGGCAGCGGCGGCACACACCTTTAGTCCCAGCACTTGGAAGGCAGAGCCAGGTGGATCTCTGTGAGTTCAGGGCCAGCCTGGTCTACAAAGTGAGATCCAGGAGAGGCACCAAAACTACACAGAGAAACCCTGTCTCAAAAAAAAAAAAAAAGAAAGAAAGAAAGATTATTATTATTGATTTTTAATTGTGTATATATGTATGTGTGTGACTATGTGCACATGAATGCATATGCCATCAGAGGCCAGCAGTGTCAGAGCCACCGGAAGCTGGAGTTCCAGGTGGTTGTGAGCCACCTGTGGGTGCTGAGAACTGAACTCGGGTCCTCTGCAACAGCAGGACACACTCTGGACTGCGGAGCCGTCTCTCCAGCCCCTCTCCAGTCCCTTTTCATTTTTTGTTTTTGAAATATGATCTTGCTAACTTAGGAATTTGCATTGAACTCACTCTGTAACCTAGGTAGGCCTTGAGTTATCAATGTTATTACTGTCTCTCCCAAGTAGCTGACCACAGGCCTGTAGCCAGATAAATTCTATCTCAAATGGGAAAACCAAGAAAGAAGAGAAAAAGCACAAGATGTAGAAATACGAAGATAAAACAAAGAAAGAAACCTAAACAGAATTGAAAAAGGTCCCTGGGGTACCTGACTCTGATGGTCTGAGCCTATAGTTTCTCATTGGAAATTTGTAGAGTAGCTCTCTTGTTAAAAATCAAATATATATATATATATATATATATATATATATTTAGCTACAAGGACAAAAATATATATTACTTTGGCTCCCAGGGTTCAGTCCATCCTGATGAGGAGGGCGGAGCGTGAGGCGGGCTGTCACATTGCATCTGATGAGAGGACATGACAGCGGAGCGTGAGGTGGGCTGTCACATTGCATCTGCAGTCAGGAGGCAGAAAGAGATGGACAGTGGTGCTCGGCTTGTTTTCTCCTTTTTGTTCAGTTTGTACCCGTGAGATGGCCAGCCTGATCTGCTTAGTGAGACCCTGTCTCAAAAGGAAAAAATAAGAAAGCAAACTGGGAGGTGATACAAAGCAAGAGATGCCCTGTACCCTGCATCAGTGTGTGTGTGTGTGTGTGTGTGTATGTGTGTGTGTGTGTGTGTGTGTGTGTGTGTGTGTGTGT